AACAAAAACCCCTCAAACTTACTGCCATTAGTTGATTCTGACTCAAAGTGAACCCCATTGCAATTTCGAGGCTGTAAATCTTTATGGAACTAGATTGCCCCATCTTCCTTATGTGAAGTGGCTGGTGCATTTGAACTGCTGATTCTGGTTAGCAGCCAAATGCCTTATCCACTATTCCAAGCAGCCAAGAAAATAGACATTGTATTGCTGGGCAAATCTGCTGCAAAAAAACCTCTGTAAAGTGTTAAGAAGCAAAGATGTCACTTTGAAGACTAAGGTGCGCCTAACCCAAGCCATGGTATTTTCAGTAGCCACATGGGCATATGAAAAGTGGACAATGAATAAGGAAGACTGAAGAAAAGTTGATTCCTTTGAATTGTAGTGTTGGTGAAAAATATTGAAAATAGTATGGACTGCTGAAAAACGAAGAAAGTTGTCCTGGAAGAAGTGCAGGCAGAATGCTTCTTGGAAGTGAGAATGGCCAGACTTTGTCTCACTATTTTGGTCATGTGGTCAGAAGAGATCATTCCCTGGAACAGGATATCATGCTTGGCAAAGTACAGGTTCAGAGAAGGAGGGGAAGACCTTCAACAAGATGGATGGACAGTGACTTCAGTGATGGGCTCATGTATAGAAAGGATTGTGAGGATGGCGCAGGGCTGGGCAATGTTTTGTTCTGTTGGACACAGACTCTCTGAGTCAGAGGCAACTCGATGGCACCTAACAAATATCACCACTATCTCATCTTCAGGAACTACCTCCTCTACACCTATTGTCCCCATGATCCTCCTTGTAGCATAAGGATCTGTCTTATATATTGCATTTGGTTATCATATCTCTCTAGTCTCCTTCAGCCTGATGTAGTTCCTCTGTCTCCCTTCACTTTCATTACCTTGACAGTTTTGAAAATTACATGCCAGTTGTATGGTATAATGTCCCATGATTTGCATTTCCCTGAGTTTCTTCATGATTAGATTCAGATTATGCAATTTTGCCAAAACAATCACAAAAGTGATGCAGTGTTCCTCTGATGTGTTTTATAGAGTACTGTACAATTTCAATTTGCATCATGACTAATAATATTCTCGTTGATTAAGATGGTACCTACCTGGTTTCTCCAATTTACCATCTATGATTAATAACTATTTGATGAGGAAATATGTAAATATCCTGTCACTCATAAAATTTTTAATTTATTCTTTTATGTGCATCAGTACAAACTCTTGTTTGTTTTTTTTATGATTTTTGATTTTGTTCCTATTGAAATCATTATTTACGTTGTTGGGAAAACCATCCCAGATTTTTCTGTGGGAACCCATTTAAGCTTTATTCTGTATTTTTCTTTTAACACAGAATAAATCAACCAGTATACTGGCTGTTTTTGCTCCTAGGCCCTTTCAGTGGAAAGTACAAGGAAATATGTATACATACACACATTAACTTCTATAATTTTGTTTCTATTTATATATAGAAAAAGTCAATTATTATAATGAAATGTGCAAAGACCTGGAGTTAGAAAACCAAAAGGGAAGAATATACTCAGCATTTCTCAAACCGAAAGAACTGAAGAAAAAATTTAAGCCTTGAGTTGCAATATTGAATGATTCTATGGGCAAAATATTGAATGATGCAGGAAACATCAAAAGAAGATGGAAGGAACACACAGAGCTATGGTACCAAAAAGAATTGGTAAATGATCATCCATTTCAGGAGGTGGCATAGGATCAAGGACCAATGGTATTGAAGGAATAAGTCAAAGCTGCACTGAAGGAACTGGTAAAGAACAAGGCCCTAGGAATTGATGGAACACCCATAGAGATGTTTCAACAAACAGATGCCACACTGGAGGCACTCACTTGGCTATGCCAGGATATTTGGAAGACAGTTACCTAGCCAACTGACTAGAAGACATCCATATTTGTACCCATTCCAAAGAAAGGTGATCCCACAGAATGTGGAAATTATCAAACAATATCATTAATATCACATGGAAGTAAAATCTTACTGAAGATAATTCAAAATAGATTGCAGTAGCATATTGACAAAGAACTTCCAAAAATGCAAGCTGGATTCAGAAGAGGACATGGAATGAGGGATATCATTGCTGATGTCAGAAGGATCTTGGCTCAAAGCAAAGAATAACAGAAAGATGTTTACTTGTGTTTTATTGACTATGCCAAAGCATTTGATTGTGTGGATCATAACAAATTATGGATAACATTGAGAAACATGGGAATTCCAGAACCCTTAATTGTACTCATGAAGAATCTATACATAGACCAGGAGTCTGTCATTTGAACAGAACAAAGGGACACTGAATGGTTTAAAATCAAGAAGGGATTTTGTCAGGGTTACATCCTTTTACCATACTTAGTCAATCTGTACACTGAGCAAATAATCCAAGAAGCTGGACTATAAGAAGAAGAATGTGGCATCAGGATTAGAGGAAGAATCATTAACAACCTGTGATATACTGATGACACAACTTTGCTTGCTGAGAGTGAGGATGACTTGAAGTACTTGCTGATGAAGATTGAAGACTACAGTCTGCAGTATGGATTACACCTCAATATAAAGAAAACAAAAATCCTCAAAACTGGACCAATATGCAGCATGATGATAGATGGAGAAAAGATTGAAGTTGTTAAAGACTTCATATTACTTGGTTCTACAATTAACACCAATGGAAGCAGCAGTCAAGACATTAGATTATGTATAGCACTGGACAAATCTGCTGTGAAAGAGCTCTTTCAAGTGCTGGAGAGCAAAGATGTCTCCTTGAGGACTAAGGTGTGCCTGACACTAGCCATGGTATTTTCAGTCACCACATGTGCATGTGAGATCTGGACAATGAATAAGGAAGACTGAAGAAGAGTCAACGCTTTTGAGTTGTGGTGTTGGCAAAGAATGCTGAAAGTCCCATAGACTAGTAATATAACTAACAAATCTGTCCTGGACAAAGCACAGCCAGAATGCTCCTTGGAAGCATGAAAGGCCAGACTTTGTCTCACCTACTTTGGTCATGTTGTAAGAAGGAACCATTCCCTGGAGAAGGATATCACGCTTGGTAAAGTGGAGGGGCAATGAAAGAGGGGAAGGCTCTCAACAGTGGCTACAATGATGGGCTTAGGTATAGCAAGGATTGTGGAGCTGGCACAGGACTGGGCACCATTTCATTCTGCTGTGCATGGAGTCGCTATGAGTCAGAGAAGACTCGGCAATGCCTAACAACAACATTTATAATGAAAATTACTAATTAAAATCAATGCATCTGACTCCAATTCAACACCACTCCACTTACCTTACTAGGGCTCTGACATCTTGTGCCAGGCTACCTCCTCCCACAGGAGTACACTCTCCTCTCTCCATTCAAATTCTGACATCTTACTTTGGGCTCTACTTCTCCTGCAGCCCACACGAAAAGTAGCCTACCTTGTTTGGCTCCACCTAATTGCTTTATACTAGATTATTTAGAAAAGGAAGGTTGGGCAATCTACTTCCATAGTGATACTGCCTCAGAAACCCAAGGTGGGGTCGCTATGAGTCGGGTCCAACTCGATGGCACGTAACAACAACAACAGATTATTTAGAAAGGAAAGAGAGGTAAATGTGTAGGAGAAGAGGGAAAGCCAAACGTTAATTTTCAATGCTAGGTTGTTTTTGTTGTTGCGTGCTATCAAGTTGATTGCAACTTACAGTGACCAAGAGTAGAATGATCCCATAGGATTTCCTAGGCTATAATCTTTACAAGTGCAGGTAGTCAGTTCTTTTCTCCTGCTGAGCAGCTGGTGGGTTAGAACCACCAATCTTTCAGTTAGCCTAGTACTTAACCATTGTGCCACCAGGGCTTAGTCTCTGACTAATCTCTTTTCTGCACAAAAGTCACCTGCAGGGATACATTTCTCTAAAATCTACTAGTTCCCTTTAGATTTCATGTCCTCAACTTTACTGTCATAGTGTTCATACGGTTCAGGCACATACACATAATAAATATTTTCACATATTTTATACATCCTCTCATGAAATGCTTTAGAATTTATTTACTCATTTAGTACTTTGAAAGTCTTGCATATATTTCTTCATGCTTGTCCTCTAATTTGTGATCCTTTATTAATGATTTATAACCAGAGTTTTCCTTAGAAGCAAAGATGGCAAAACTTTGTTTCACTTCCTTTGGACATGTTATTCTCTAAAGTAGAGGGTCAATGAAAGAGAGGAAGATCCCAAATGAGGTGATTGACATAGTGGTTGTACAAATGGGGTCAAAATAGCAAAATTACGAGGATGGTGCAGGATCAGGCAACATTTCTTTCTGTTATACATGGCATTGCCATGGGTTGCAACTGACTCAATGGCACATAACAACAATAACAACAACAATTTTACCAGCATTCCTGAGTGGTGCATATAGATAACACACTTGACTGCTAACCAAGAGGTTGGAGGTTCAAGTCACCCAGAGTCACCTTGGAAGAAAGGCCTGGTGATCGACTTCAGGATTTTCAGCCATTGAAAACCCCGTGGAGCACAGTGCCACTCTGACACACATGGGGTCGCCATGAGTTAGAACTGACTCAGTGGCAACTGGTTTGCCATCAATTACAGAAGGTAGCATGGCCACATGGCATACGTTTTATCCCCGAGATTTGGCAATAATAGAACTGGGAACATTTTTGTTTTAGAAAATATGAACTATGAAATATAGTAATTTCTGTATTTTTGAAGTAGCAACAGGATTTTTCTCCCATGAATGGTTGCTCTCTTCCTCAGTGTTCTGGGGGGGGGGGACCTTAGCTGAGATGAAGAAGCTATCTGTACAATAAATAAATAAAAAGACAGCCAAGACAGTTTAAATTTCTAACTACTTTATTAAGATTCATTAGTCTAATTAGCCTTCTAGGTATAGGATTCAGTTATCATTCTAATTTGCTTCTGGGGACTGGAGGCTGGATTCCTTTAAACTTAGTGAGCAATTTGAGAACCACCTAACATGTTGACAGCTAGGTCTTTCTTCTGGAAATGTGGTCAAAAATGACAGCTTGTATGTAGAGGTCTGTTTGTATAGATGTTCTAGTAGAGTTGTCACCTGGTTGAGCCTAAAATACATAAATTACATTGTTAATCAGACAAGTCCATGCAAATTATTGACATTAAATGAATTTTATTTTTCTTCAGTATTGCAGAAAATACAGCTGAAAAGGCTGTGGTCATGGAGGTATATAGAAGGTTTTCCTCTTAAGTTCCTTTTTCTCTGGAGCAGTAATGAGTATGATTAGGAACTTTTATGCCCTGATTGGTGGCATTACTGAAAATATCTACAAGCAGTGCCCAGGTTCATGCTTGTCTAGACTCTCCTTACCCGCTACACCACCAGAGCTCCTTCCACTGAACCAGAGGAGTCACTACCTGCAGAATCCCCAGTGAAGGGCTTTGCAAATAAATGTGATTATGAGATAAGAAGTCAAAAAGAATTCTACCTTGATTCAAATAAAAATGTCACACAAGTTTGGAATGGGTCAGATTCCTGGAAGTTCCTGTCTGTTTATGGAGAGTTTCATGAAGAGTTTTTCAGTTTTAAAACTATTTGTTCTGATTTTTCTTTTCCAAAGGATAATCTGAGCAAAAGGATTTGGTTCTTTTACCTTTATTCAGGATTGTCTCTCATACTTACATGTTCCTAGGAAACTCCAATTAGAACAATGATTTGCTAGTGAAGTATTGATAAGGAGAAAAGAGAGTAGTTTTATGTCACAACTGTTAAGCACTGGGCTGCTAACTGAAAGGTTAACATTGCAAACCCACCCAGGAGCTCTGTCGGAAAACAAACAAACAAACAAACAAAAACCTGGAGATGTGCTTCTGAAAAGATTGCAGCCAAGAGTTTTACTGTGCCAAATGAGTTTGCTGTGAGTTGCTGACTTGATGGCACCCAACAACAACAATTCTCAAATAAGGAAGGAAAAAAAAAAAAATGTTAAAGATTTAGAAAACACCCATGATTGGAAAATAAGTTGGTCTTCATTATTTGCAGATTCTATATTTACAAATTGGTCTATTTGCTAAAATTTATTTGTAATCCCTTTTGTGTGGTCTTTGCCATATGAGCAGAACAGTAAAACATTTAAGTCACCTTATGAACATGTTTGCAGCTGAGGTTGAGCAAGGTGATGGTTTGCCTTCTTGTTTCAGCTCTCATAATGCAAACAAGTGTCATTTTTGACACATTTCTCCCTTCCTATTTGTGTTTTTGTTAATGATTTTGCTATTTGCAATGACCTCAAAGTGTAGTACTGAAGTGCTGCTATCCAGTTGTTCCTAAGTGTAAAATGTCTATGATGGGCCTTGGGGAGAAAATACATATGTTAGATAAGCATGTTTTATAGTGCTGTTGATTGTTAGTTCAATGTTAGTGAGTCAACAACATACACTTCATAAGGTGTCTTTAAATATATACACATTTTTTATGTGTGAGTCATGGTTATACCCTTTTTTGAAAAATTGTCTTGTAAATATTTTAGAGGTTCCACTGAAATACCTAGTAGATTCACCTGACAGATGAGTAATCTGCATTGCTGGAGGACTGTGCCTCAGGAGAGCTTAAAGACAAGCACCTCTTTTCTTTGCAAAAAGTTGAGAATCCCAAGTACCAGTAGAACTTCAGATTTGCTTAGTCTGTATTATTTATTTTTTTTAATACATTTATCTTTCCTAGTGCATAAGGCATTTGACCGCTAATCAGAAGGCTGGCAGTGCAAACCCTCCAGCCACTCCTTGGAAGGAAGGTTGGGCAATCTACTTCCGTAGTGATACTGCCTCAGGAACCCAAGAAGGGGTTGCTATGAGTCGGATCTGACTTCATGGCAGTGAATTTGGTTTTGGTTTGGCTAAATTCTTCCTAGGAGTGGCAGCTTCATTTAGGAATTTGATTTTATGGCCCAGTCATTTGGGGATTTCTGAGTGGATTAATGGTTTATAGGTTTATTCTGGTGAGTGAGAGTCAACAATTAACCTGATTTTTAGTCCTTTTCTTTGTACATTTGTCTATTTTTAGATCAAATAAAGAAGTTTGTGCCTGTTAGGAAAGAGAACAGTTTTTTTCTATATTGTTGTTGTTGTTGTTGTTATGTGCCATCCAGTCGGACCCGACTCATAGCAACCCCTCCTTGGTTTCCGAGGCAGTATCACAACAGAAGTAGATTGACCAACCTTCCTTCTGAGGAGTGGCTGGTGGGTTTGAACTGCCAGCCTTCTGGTTAGCAGTCAAGTGCCTTAGCTGTATAGATTGATGAATTATTTTGTGATTGTGTTTATTTTTGACATGTAGTTGATGTTTAGATAATGAAGCTATAAGCTCTCTATGTGTCTGCATGCTTATAATTCAGAGAGGTTTTACTTCTTGTTATGCTTCTAAATTAGATTTTCACAGTCGCCTAAATGAAATGAAACTGATCTGATTGGCCTTCAGAACTGAACAAGTTCTTTTATAAGTTAAGTACTCATAAAATTCCAAGAAAATGAGAAAATTAAAGTTATGATACTTTAAAAGTGCTATACTTAGTTATTCTTACAGAAACTCAGGTACATTTTGAAGATGTAATTTCATCTGATTAAAATAAATCTTCAGTAAATAAGAACAGTGTAATAATTTTAGTTTAATACAAACAGTTAAGTATTCTCTAATTTATCACTTTTAGTTAAAATGTAAGTATATATTTTATTCTATTTGGGTTTTATTTCTTAAGCTTATAAGTTTTCTTAAAAGTATGTGATTTTCTTAAAGAATTGATGCCTTTGGATTATGGTGTTGGTGAAGAATACTGAAAATACTATGGAGTTCCAGAACAAACATATCATGGAATGCTCTTTGGCAGTGAGAATGGCCAGACTTCGTTTCACTGATTTTGGTCATGTTGCAAGAAGGGATCATTCCCTGAAAAAGATATCATATTTGGTAAAGTGTAGTTTCAGCTAAAAATGGGGAAACTCTCAATGAGATGGTTTGACACAGTGACTGCATCGATAAGTTCAAGTACAGAAAGGATTGTGGGGATGGAGCAGGACTGGGCACTGTTTTGTTCTGTTGTACCTAGGGTTGCTGTGAGTTGGAGCTGACTCAACGAACAGCACCTAACAGCAACAAGATTTGGTTTTCTTAAACTTAAACTTTATTGTTAAATTTAAACTTATTTATTGATAAAATAATATTGTTGCTGTTGTTATTTGCCATCAAGTCAGCCCCGACTCCTAGCGACCCCTCCTTGGGTTTCCGAGGCAGTTATCACTATGGAAGTAGGATTGCCCAACCTTCCTTCCAAGGAGTGGCTGGTGGGTTTGAACCGCCAGCCTCCTGGTTAGCAGTCAAGTGCCTTAGGCACTATGCTACCACAGCTCCAAAAGGGGTGTCTGCCTCCCCGTTGGGGAATCGCACCCCGGTCTCCTGCGTGACAGGCGGGGATACTCACCACTATACTAATGAGGAAAAATAATATTACTCCTATAAAATAATTCATATAATGAAAAATATGAATTTGTGTTAAAGTAAATTGAATTGTACATCAGCTTAAATATATTTCCCAAGATCTTTAGGTAACATAAAAACTTTGGCTGATATTAAAATTAGTTATATAATGAATATTCATTTACTATATTGAAAATTTCTTAGAATACTGAAAATTTGATGCCTAAATGATTATTAATCAATTTTAAGCATAATTTTAAGTACTTTTGCTTGTATTCTATAGAAAATTAATATCTTTGGGTATTATTAATGAATAAGAATGATTGTGAAAAAAAATGAATGTGTTCATTTTTTGTCTCCTTAAAAAGGTATTATGGGAATGTATAAGGTTGTTGTATTAAAAGCTTTCATAGTCTTTTAAAATGCTTGTGAAAAACAGTTCTCAATTATCTACCTCTTGTTTTCTTTATGAAATAGAAATTAGTTAAAAGTTATAATGAATATGTATGCTGGGAAGAGTAAGGACAGATTAATACCATCATATATATTTTTGTGTTTCAAGAAAAAGGTGGTGTTTTTTATTATTGTTTTTTACTTTTATCTCAGAATCACTATACATTCTTGGCTTTTTGAGGACCTCTAAGAATTTTTGTATATGTGAGTTGTAAATATTAATATTTACCATATTGCAAGTTGACCCTGAGAAATTTAAAAATAGCTACTTACTGATTCATTTCACTATTGTAATGATCAATGTACTGCATGTTAAAAGATGTAACATCTTCACATGAATATGAAAATTGTTTTGATCTCATAGATTTCTGAGTGCTACTGTGATATGACTGGGCAATCTACTTCTGTGGAGATACCACTTCAGAAACCCAAGGAGGGGTCCCTAAGAGTCGGAACTGACTGGATGGCAGTGAGTTTTTTTTTTTTTTTACTGTGATATGTGAAAGAAAAATGAAGAACAAAATTCAGAAGGGAAAATTATTTGCCTTGGTTTATAGTGCTTAAGTCTTAAAGGAAGCTATTAAATATGCTAAAATTTTAGTAAAACTTGTCCAATCTTGATGGGTTTATTTTCTTGGTTTACTGAAAAATTCCTTTGCTTATAACATGAAACGCTATATTTTAAAATGTCTTTGTAATCTACCTAGAGTTTGGATTTTACATCTTACAAGAATAATTTTTAGCACTTTTTGTTGCTTTATTATATCCTTGATTATTTAAGGAAAACAAAAAACTAAAAAGAAAGCAAGTCTAAAAATTCCTCAGTTATAAAAGAGCTACAGGTCTTTATAATCATATAAACTTTTACGCGTATTTCTAATGTTTTATTTAATTAAATAAGTGGTCACTAATTAGTTAAATAAGTGTTATCTCTCTGGCTCAATGATCTCATCTTATTTAAGTGTCTAAATATCTCCTGAGAACTTTTTGATGTTTGCCTTTCCATAATTATACCTTAAATATGTTGTTGTTGTTATGTGCCATCAACTCGGACTCGACTCATAGCAACCCCCTCCTTGGGTTTCTGAGGCAGTATCACTAGGGAAGTAGATTGTCCAATCTTCCTTCTGAAGAGTGGAGTAGCTGGTGTGTTTGAACTGCCAGCCTTCAGGTTAGCAGTCAAAT